GCAAGGGCAGAGCAAGGACCTCAGGGCTGTTGGACTCGTGTTTTAGGCCTCGCTGCCTCTTCACCTCAGTCTCCTCATCTGTAAAATGGGCATTTGTGATTCCTGGGAATTGTGTTTCCAAGTCCGTAACACAGTTCTCTGTACCCACAGGGACCTGGCCAATTATGCGTTCCCTTGCCCCCTCCCCTCCCGCTCAGGGCGTCTCCGCTGCTCTGAGCTGCTTGGGTTGGTCCAGGGAGCGCCTGTGGACTTGCTGGCGTCCTGGCTTACTCTTCCCTGAGCCATAGCAGGGACTCCGGGGAAGGGACCGTCCTGCTAAATATGGTTTTTAGTCACTGAACTCCACTCTGCCCTTCGCAAAGGCGACAGTAAAATTGCTGCCTTTTATTTTGCCTGTCAGCCTAGCATTCCAAATGAAAGTGGATTGCTTTCTTTCTTTTTCTTCCTCCTGCGATATATCCACGCCCGGCCCTGGCTGGAAGTTCAGTCCCTGCACGTGCGTGGCCGGTCCTGGACGGAGGTGCCCCCTGGGTTTGCGGAATCGTGTGCCTCTGGCTGGGCGGCCTGGACTGCGAGTTGAGGGACAGATGCCTGGTAATCACAGGCTTCCTCCCACAGCAGGGCACTGGCAGGCACCGCCTGTTTTAAGGGGACATTTAAGCGCGTTTTAAAGAGCGAGACCTATAGCTTCTAAATGCAGGAGACCGGAGATGAATCCTTAAGACACCCCCTTCCTGTGCAAAAGGCGTTGGGAAGAGGAGGCTGAAGCCAGACCCCGCTGAGCGTGGCAGGTGCCGAAGGCCCGAGTGGTGTCCGGGCGCCTTGATGGGCACCACGGGTCGCACTTGTGCCCCTCAGAGCTGGTTTCTGCCTCCTCCCCTTTATTTATTTTTTAAATACCTTTTTATTGATTTCAGAGAGAGAGGGAGAGGGAGCGAGAGGTAGAAACAGCAATGGTGAGAGAGCATCATGGATCCGCTGCCTCTAGCACGCCCCACACTGGGGATGGAGCCCGCAACCTGGGCATGTGCCCTGACCGGGAATCGAACCCTGACCTCCTGGTTTGCAGGTCGACACTCACCCGCTGAGCCGGCCGCCCGGGCCTGAGCTGCATGCTCACGGAATTGTCTTTAGCCCCATCGGCCTGGACCACACACCGCCTCTCCTTCCTCCTCTTGCCGATGCGCGGATTCTGGGCAGGGAGAGTGGGAGGCTCCTCACGGGCGGCCAGGGGGCAGGGACAGGAGGGGAGCTGGGTGGGAATCTGTCCATCACCAACAGGGTGGGGGTGCGTGTCCCCCATGAATGACCAGCCTTCAGGGTGGGCTCCTGCCAGGTACAGTCCTGGCCCAGGTGTGCTCCTCCTCGGCCCGAGGGCCCAGCACTGGGAGGCGAGCTCCTGGCCTCTAGCGCCCCGGATTTGGCATCTGAATTCGGAACTGGCAGCGCGTTCGTGTCTGCCTGTGATTAAGTGAAGGACACTGGCATGGCAGTCCCGCGTGTCTCCTGCACACGGCACGGTCCCATCGGGCTGTTTTCCCTCGAGATCACAGGGAGGGCCGATGGACAAGAGGTAGCGGGTGCTGGCCGCCGGTCCCCCAGGACGGAAGCTCCTGGAGCGGCACCAGCTGGGCCCTGGGGCTGCAGGTCGGGTGCTCATTGCCTTTTCTGTGCTCATCCTGGGCCTCAGAGCCTGAGCCTCCTGGAGTGGCCTTGAGCTCCAGGCTTGGAGGGAGGCGGGGGGCGGGGGGCAGCCTCGGGGCCGGCAGTCCTCTCCTCCGGGGAGGGTGCGGATGGGACCCAGAGCCTCTCAGTGCCCCCTGGGCCCTGTGCCCACAGAGGAAGGAGGGAGGAATCTGCGCCCCCCGCGTGGCCATCCGTGGCGCCTGCCCACGCTCTGCTGTGTGGATTCCGTGTCCCACGAAGAGGCTGCGGGACGGGAATGAAGGTGATGGTAGCAGCCACCACAGTCAGAAAACCCACGGTTCCTGGTTGCCGCCCGATGCGCCCCGACTCACATGATCGTCACAGCAGCCCCGAGAGCAGGTGGCCCGGGGCCCCCAGAGGACGCCCCTGGCTCCAGGCCACGCAGCTCCCGAGTGGCCAGGCTGGTGGTGCCAGAACCAGCAGCTCACCCACGAGCTGGGGGAGGGTTTTTTAAATCTCATGCATTCGTGTCAGTGCCTGGGGGAGGGAAGAGAGGAGCTGTCTGCCCACGTCCTCCTGGATATTCTGCTGTTTCATTGTGAGCTGCTTCCATCTTTTCAAAGACAGACAGACAGACAGAAAGGCAAGCTCCGAGTGTGGGCCGAGCAGCCTCCTTTCTTGCATGGAAGGGTCTGGAGAGATCCTGGTATGTCTGAGGCATCCAGGGGGGTAGTTTTAAGCTGCCAACCTGCTTCCTGGGTTTGGGGCCGGCTCCCAGCCAATCAGAAGTGGGGAGGTTCCCCCATCTTTGACATTTAGCTCCCCCCTCATTAGCACCCTCGCCCCCAGTTGGGCTCTTCCTTGCATGTTAGCAGCATCTGCTCAGGGCTGCTTTCCTTCCCCGAGTCCTGACAAACAATAGCCTGGTTTCAAGAGGGATATTTATAACTCGGGACAGCACAGAGAAGTATTTGATTCCCACATGAGCATTTATGGGATTCTTTTATTTTTTTCATTCTCATGAAAAATTCATCCCCTGTTCCTGGGCTGCTCTCGTCTCCTAAGTTTGGGTGTCTGGGCTTGTCTGCTCTTTCTTCTTAGATGCTTCGGTGAGGTGGGAGCGGGGAGAGTCCCAAAGAAGACAGGACGGCTTGCAGCCTTGGGCAATCTCTTCTCTCGACTAGACGGTCGCCAATCCACTCTGTATTGCACGTGAAAGTGGCCCCTTTCCTTAAAGGAGGGTGAGAAGACCCTCATCACAAAGCTCCCAGCAAACAAAAGCTCGGGTCCCGACGGCTTCATGGGAGTTTTCCCAACATTCAAAGAGGAACTAGCACCTCTCCTCCTGACTATTCCAGAACATCCAAGAGGAAGGAACTCTTCCCAGCTCTATCTTTAAGGCCAGCATCACCCTAATCCCAAACCAGATAAAGACACTACAGAGAAGAGAATTACAGGCCAGTATCCCTGATGAACATAGATGCTAAAATCCTCAACAAAATATTAGCAAATCTGATCCAGCAATATATTTAAAAAATCATACATCATAACCAAGTGGGTTTTGTTCCAGGGATGCAAGGCTGGTACAATATTCGCAAATCAATAAACATGATACATCACATAAACAGGTTGAAAGACAAAAATCACATGATCATATCAATAGAAAAAGCATTCGACAAAATGCAACACCCATTTTTTTTTTAATATATTTTGTTGATTTCTTACAGAGAGGAAAGGAGAGGGATAGAGAGTTTGAAACATCGATGAGAAACATCGACCAGCTGCCTCCTGCACACTCCCCACTGGGGATGTGCCTACAACCAAGGTACATGCCCTTGACTGGAGTTGAACCTGCCCTCTGAGGGAGTGCACTGACCACCAGGGGGCAGTTTCTGCATTGAGCATCTGCCCCCTGGTGGTCAGTGCCCATCATAGTGACTGGTTGTTCTGCCGTTTGGTTGATTTGCATATTAGGCTTTTATTATATAGGATAGCACTGGAAGTCCTAGCCACAGCAATCAGACAAGAAGAAATAAAAGGCATCCATATTGGGAAGGAGAAAGTAAAACTCTCATTATTTGCAGGTGATATGATATTGTAGATAGAAAACCCTAAAGACTCCGCCAAAAACTACTAGATTTCATAAATGAATTTGGCAATGTAGTAGGATACAAAATCAACACCCAAAATTGATGGCTTTTTTGTACACCAGTCATGAACTCTCAAAAAGAGAAACGAAAACCCATTTACCATTGCAACAAAAAAATTAAGATACTTAGGAATAAAGTTAACTAAGGAGGCAAAAGACCTGTACTCAGAAAACTATAGGACCTTGGAAAAAGAGATAGAAGGAGATATAAACAAGTGGAAAAACATACCATGTTCATGGATTGGTAGAATCAACAGCATGAAAATGTCCATACTACGCCAGGCAATCTACAGATTCAATGCAATCCCTATTAAAATACCAACAGCATATTTCACAATTCTAGAACAAATACTCCAAAAACTTATGTGGAACCAAAAAAAAAAAAAAAAAAGACCCCGAATAGCTGCAGCAATCTAAGAAAGAAGAACAAAGTTGGAGGAATCACAATACCAGATCTCAAGTTACGCTACAAAGCCACTGTACTCAAGACAGCCTGGTATTGGCACGAGAATAGGCATATAGATCAATGGAACAGAACAGAGACCCCAGAAATCAACCCAAGCTATTACGTTCAATTAATATTTGACAAAGGAGGCAAGAGCATACAATGGAGTCAAGACAGCCTCCTGCACGCCCGCACTGGGGACTGAACCAGCAACCTGGGCATGTGCCCTGACCGGGAATTCAACCGGTGACCTCTTAGTTTCTGGGTCAATGCTCAACCGCTGAGCCATACTGGCCGAGCTGCTGTGAGGCTTTTATTGCATTGATGAGGTTATCTAAATGATAATTATCCTTCCAGCCTTCTTCACTGATAAGTTCAGTTACTATGTACAGAATACCTTGTAAAAATTGCTTTCTCACCTGGATGGAATTTCCCAGGCCCCACTTGGCGAAAGCGTTCTCATTTACAGAGGAACCTGGACTTACAGGAAAGCAAACACCAGGGCCGTGGCCAGGCCCCTGTGATAAGAACTCCTTAGGCTCTGCCTCTCCCCCCACCCCTCACTGTCCCTCACTCTTTGTTTTTAAAATATATTTTTGTTGATTTCAGAGAGGAAGGGAGAGGGAGAGAGAGAGAAACATCCATGATGAGAAAGAATCATTGATCGGCTGCCTCCTGCACACCCCACACCGGGGGTGGAGCCCACAGCCCAGGCCTGTGCCCTGACCAGGAATTGAACCGCGATCTCCTGGTTCCTAGGTCGACGCTCAACCACTGAGCCACGCCGACCGGGCTCCCTTACTCTCTGGATCCGTGTTTCTGAATTTGCCAGATTTGTAAGAAGGGTTGTGCAGAGTGAAGCGGGGCCCCTGGTGGTGTGTGAGTTGCAGGGGACTGGCTGGGGGGCTGGGGGGCTGGTGCGTGAGCCCCGGTCCCCGCGAAGGGTGTCGCGAGGGGGGGCCCGTGGGCAGAGGGGCAGCGATGGGAGTGCGCCCCATCCTGGCCGGGGCGTGCCGGCTGCTGCATTAAGCGCCTGGCCTGCCTGTTTCAGGTCCCACCCGGAAGATGCCCCCCAGCGCCAGCGCCATGGACTTCTTCCAGCTCTTCGTCCCCGACAACATGCTCAAGAACATGGTGGTGCAGACGAACCTGTACGCCAGAAAGTTCCAGGAGCGCTTCGGCAGCGACGGCGCCTGGGCGGACGTGACGCTGGCCGAGATGAAGGCCTTCCTGGGCTACATGGTCTCCACCAGCATCTCCCACTGCGAGTCGGTCCTCAGCATCTGGAGCGGCGGTTTCTATAGCAACCGGGGCCTGGCGGGCGTCATGAGCCAGGCCCGCTTCGAGAAGATCCTCAAGTACTTCCACGTGGTGGCCTTCCGCTCCAGCCAGGCGACGCACGGCCTCTACAAGGTCCAGCCCTTCCTCGACGCCCTGCAGAGCAGCTTCGACGCGGCCTTCAGGCCCTCCCAGACCCAGGTGAGGCGGGCTCAGCCGGCCCTCGGCCCTGGGCCGGGAAATGCGGGCCACCACCATTCAGCAGCTGTTCGTGGAATCGTCCCTGGGGTCCGCGGAAGCTGGAGGCCGAGGTGACCTGGGGCCTCCTCCCTTCCTCCCCCGACTCTGAGGTCACTTCAGGGTCATCCATGTAAGACCCAGGGGACGTGCAGATCAGCAGCTCCCGACCACAGACGATCAGAACTCGGGGTTTTGCTCTGAGATGCACTTTTTCTCCTCTTTTCTCCCCATCCTCCCTCTCCTTTATTTTATTTTTTAAAAATATGTTTTTATTGATGTCAGAGAGGAAGGGAGAGGGAGAGAGAGAGAAACATCAATGATGAGAGAATCATGGATCAGCTGCCTCCTGCACGCCCCACACTGGGAATCGAGCCCACAACCTGGGCAAGTGCCCCGACCGGGAACCCAACCGTGACCTCCTGGTTCACAGGCTGACGCTCAACCACTGAGCCACGCCGGCCAGGTGGAATTCATTTTAATGCAGACAGAAAAGAGGGAAAAACAGTGAGGACAGAAATTCTCGCTGGCCCCTCCACACTGGTGAGGTGTGTGGTTTGCGCTGATGACACGGTAATGCAGGTGGGTGGAGGCATTGGCTCTGGGAGGAGGAGTGGAGAGGGCAGCTGAAGCGGTCTCTGTGGCGTCCCTCCCCCTCTGCGGCGTCCCTCCCCCCTCTGCTCCATTCCCCTCCGAGGCAGGCACTCAAAGTTTTGCTAGAGTGGTTCCAAATGGGGCTCGAATGTTTGATGAGCTGCACAGAGCTGGCGAGTTCAGGAAGCAGGTGGGAGGCACCTCCTCCAGGCAGCTCGCCAGGCTTTTCCCGCCTCTAACCACAGAAAAGCCGAGGGCTCAGAACCGACAGGCCCTGTGGTTTTTAATGGCATCCAGGCAGCATTAAGGAGAGATGGAGGGTATGGTGAGCATTCTTCTCCCTCTGCCCTTGGCCCAGTGCGTCCTGACTCCACCCGGAGCCTGTTGGGGAAGCAAAACTCGGGCCCTGCCCCAAACTTGCTGAATCAGACCTGCCGTTAGCAAGTCCCCCCACCCTCCCACCCCCCCACCGTGACCAGTTTGTCCGTTCAAGCTTGAAAGGCACCGACAGAGAGCAGGGGTCGTCAGTACACTCTCCCTGTCTGTGGCCAGAGGCATCAGTTCTGCTATTGTGGCCCGAAGGCCGCCATCAACAGTGCGTGAGTGAGTGAGTGAGCAAGCGAGGCAGGTTCCAATAAAACTTTATTTACAACAGGCAGGGAGGGGCCAGACACAATCTGGCCCCTGATCCAGGACATCTTGTGGAGTTCCTGGGATGCTGTTAGTTCCCACACTGCATTTCAGTGAGACAGTTCAGAATTCAGCCTGAATCAGGACTGAGGAGGGAAGGGTGGCAGAGTGCTAGGATTACCCCAAAGTCTCCCCAAAAAGCTTTGACTCAAAGAAGCAAAACTTTGACCACCCCTCGGAGCCTGTTTTTATAATTCCATTTCTTTTTACTAAACTGTTGTCTTGTCACTGAAAATGTCCTACCACCGTGTTGTCAAGCAGCTAAAACAAGGTGACATGATATTTAAAGTCGCCTCGGGACCCCATGTCAGAAAGCACTGGGCGCCTTGAGGGAGGGCGGAGAGCCCGGGCTGGGTCAGAAGGGAACTGGGGCCTTTCAGGAGCCGGGAATGAGCGGGCGTAGGCCAGCCCGAGACCCGTCCTGATGCCTAAACAATTCGTGTGTTTTTCTTGGTTTCCCCCAGGGCAGAGGTCAGATCCTTACGTCTAAGTTCAGCCCTACCTGGTGTGGCTCAGTGGATAGGGCATCAGCCTGCAGACTGAAGGGTCCTGGGTTCGATTCTGGTCAAAGCCACTTACCCGGGTCCTGCTCAGGGCTCGTGCAGGAGGCAACCAATCGATGTGTCTCTCTCACATCGATGTTTCTCTCTGTCCTTCCCTCTCTCTTCCACTCTCTCTAAAAACCAATGGGAAAATATTCTCGGGTGAGGATTAAGAAAAAAAGGTTCAAGTTCAGTGTAAGTCTGTTTTGAGCCAGTGAGGGGAAGGACAGCCGAGCAGTGGAAGCCCTCACCTGCGAGTGGAAAGGTCTCCCATGGAAAGAAGTGGGTGCCCCCACCAGGCGCGCCCCGGGAGAGGTCGGCCCCGGCTGGAGAGCCCGCTACCGAGGGAGGGTTTGGACTGGGGACCTGCCGCCGATTTTCTAAATTCCTGCTCTGTGTCAGGGCCTGTGCTGCGAGCTCTGCACCCCGTTTCTCACTTAGTCCCCCCCAAACACCGGTGCAGATCCTGCTGTTCCCCTTCCACAGACACGCGTCCCGGGACCAGAGAGGTCGAGGGCCTTAGCCACGGCCCCACAGCGGGTCAGGGCCAGAGCCGAGACTTGAGCCCAGACCTGACGAGGCCCTGAGCCCGCGCTGCCGCCCGTGAGCATCCCCGCTTGTCCTCTCCGGCAGGTGCTACACGAACCCCTGATTGACGAGGACCCCGTGTTCATCGCCACGTGCACGGAGCGGGAGCTGCGCAAGAGGAAGAAGCGGAAGTTCAGCCTGTGGGTCAGGCAGTGCTCGGCCACCGGCTTCATCGTCCAGGTGAGCCCTGGGCAGGGCCACGGCTCGCATGGTAGCCGATGAACCCTCTGCCTTCCCGCTGTGCGTCACGCAGACCTTCCCGCGGAGGCCGGGGCCGGTGCTGCCTCCACGGTGAGCACTGGGGTGGCCGGCACTGTCTCCACGCTGAGCACTGGGGTGGCCGGCACTGTCCTCGGCCTGTTCCTCCCACCCAACTTGGCCCCTCTGGTTAAACTGATCAAGACTCAGGCCCCACCCGGCCAACGTGGCTCAGCGATTGAGCGCTGACCTATGAACCAGGAAGTCACGTCACATGCCCAGATTGTGGGCTCCATCCCCAGTGTGGGCCATGCAGGCCGGTCCATGATTCTCTCTCATCATTGATGTTTGCATCTCTCTCTCCATCTCCCTTCCTCTCTGAAATCAATAAAAATATATTTTTTTAAAGCGATAATTAGGTTAAAGTGAAGGCATTAGGGACGGAAGCCGCGCTGCCCAGCGTGGGCCTGGCCGCCGCGCTGTGGGCTCACTGGCCCGTGTTTCCCTGACAGATCTACGTCCACCTGAAGGAGGGCATGGGCCCCGACGGGCTGGACGCGCTGAAGAACAAGCCGCAGCTGCACGGCGCGGTGGCCCGGAACCTGTGCCGCAACGCGGCCGGCAAGAACTACATCGTCTTCACGGGGCCCAGCATCACCAGCCTGGCGCTGTTCGAGGAGTTTGAAAAGCAAGGTTTGTCGTGTGGGGAGCTGTGAGCCTGGCCCTGACCCGGAAAGTGGTGCTGGGAGAGGTTGGGGTGGAGTGGCGTCCGCACAGACCGTGCGAGGAGGCCTTTCCCGGGAGCAGATCACTGCAGCCCTGGCCGGGACCTGCTGGGCACTGGAGCTGAGGGCCCCAGTCCTGGCTCCGGTCTGGGGACAGGTCGGCACATAGCCCCGCCCATAAGGCCACGGCCACTGAAGCAGCCTGAGTGTGTAGTCCATTCGCTGCTGTAACAAAAGGCCACAGAGCAGTGGCTTACAAACCACATGCACACCCGCCTATACACACATGCACAGCCTACATGCACTCACACCCGCCTATACACACATGCATAGCCTACATGCACTCACACCCGCCTATACACACATGCACCACCTACATGCACTCACACCCGCCTATAACACACACCACCTACATGCACTCACACCCGCCTATAACACACACACACACCACCTACATGCACTCACACCCGCCTATAACACACACACCACCTACATGCACTCACACCCGCCTGTACACACACACACCACCTACATGCACTCACACCCGCCTATACACACACACCACCTACATGCACTCACACCCGCCTATAACACACACCACCTACATGCACTCACACCCGCCTGTACACACACACACCACCTACATGCACTCACACCCGCCTGTACACACACACACCACCTACATGCACTCACACCCGCCTATACACACACACCACCTACATGCACTCACACCCGCCTATACACACACCACCTACATGCACTCACACCCGCCTATACACACATGCACCGCCTACATGCACTCACACCCGCCTATACACACACCACCTACATGCACTCACACCCGCCTGTACACACACCACCTACATGCACTCACGCCCGCCTATAACACACACCACCTACATGCACTCACACCCGCCTATACACACACACCACCTACATGCACTCACACCCGCCTGTACACACATGCATAGCCTACATGCACTCACACCCGCCTATACACACATGCACAGCCTACATGCACTCACACCCGCCTATACACACATGCACAGCCTACATGCACTCACACCCGCCTATACACACATGCACAGCCTACATGCACTCACACCCGCCTATACACACACACACACCACCTACATGCACTCACACCCGCCTATAACACACACCACCTACATGCACTCACACCCGCCTATACACACACACACCACCTACATGCACTCACACCCGCCTATAACACACACCACCTACATGCACTCACACCCGCCTATACACACACACCACCTACATGCACTCACACCCGCCTGTACACACATGCATAGCCTACATGCACTCACACCCGCCTATAACACACACACACCACCTACATGCACTCACACCCGCCTATAACACACACCACCTACATGCACTCACACCCGCCTATACACACACACCACCTACATGCACTCACACCCGCCTGTACACACATGCATAGCCTACATGCACTCACACCCGCCTATACACACATGCACAGCCTACATGCACTCACACCCGCCTATACACACATGCACAGCCTACATGCACTCACACCCGCCTATACACACATGCACAGCCTACATGCACTCACACCCGCCTATACACACACACACACCACCTACATGCACTCACACCCGCCTGTACACACACCACCTACATGCACTCACACCCGCCTATAACACACACCACCTACATGCACTCACACCCGCCTATACACACGCACACACCACCTACATGCACTCACACCCGCCTATACACACACACACACCACCTACATGCACTCACACCCGCCTATAACACATGCACCACCTACATGCACTCACACCCGCCTATAACACACACACACCACCTACATGCATTCACACCCGCCTATAACACACACCACCTACATGCACTCACACCCGCCTATAACACACACCACCTACATGCACTCACACCCGCCTGTACACACATGCACAGCCTACATGCACTCACACCCGTCTGTACACACATGCACCACCTACATGCACTCACACCCGCCTATACACACATGCACAGCCTACATGCACTCACACCCGCCTATAACACACACCACCTACATGCACTCACACCCGCCTATACACACACACCACCTACATGCACTCACACCCCCCTATACACACACACACACACCAACTACATGCACTCACACCCGCCTATACACACACACCACCTACATGCACTCACACCCGCCTATACACACACACCACCTACATGCACTCACACCCCCCTATACACACACACCACCTACATGCACTCACACCCCCCTATACACACACACACACACCAACTACATGCACTCACACCCGCCTATAACACACACCACCTACATGCACTCACACCCGCCTATACACACACACCACCTACATGCACTCACACCCGCCTATACACACATGCACCACCTACATGCACTCACACCCGCCTGTACACACATGCACCACCTACATGCACTCACACCCGCCTATACACACGCACCACCTACATGCACTCACACCCGCCTATACACACACACCACCTACATGCACTCACACCCGCCTATACACACACACCACCTACATGCACTCACACCCGCCTATACACACACACCACCTACATGCACTCACACCCGCCTGTACACACACACACACACCACCTACATGCACTCACACCTGCCTATACACACACACCACCTACATGCACTCACACCCGCCTATAACACACACCACCTACATGCACTCACACCCGCCTATAACACACACCACCTACATGCACTCACACCCGCCTATACACACACACACACCACCTACATGCACTCACACCCGCCTGTACACACACACCACCTACATGCACTCACACCCGCCTGTACACACACACACACACCACCTACATGCACTCACACCTGCCTATACACACACACCACCTACATGCACTCACACCCGCCTATACTCACACACACCACCTACATGCACTCACACCCGCCTATACTCACACGTACCACCTACATGCACTCACACCCGCCTGTACACACACACGTACCACCTACATGCACTCACACCCGCCTGTACACACACACACACCACCTACATGCACTCACACCCGCCTGTACACACACACACACCACCTACATGCACTCACACCCGCCTATACACACACACACACCACCTACATGCACTCACACCCGCCTATACACACACACCACCTACATGCACTCACACCCGCCTGTACACACACACCACCTACATGCACTCACACCCGCCTATACTCACACGCACCACCTACATGCACTCACACCCGCCTGTACACACACACACCACCTACATGCACTCACACCCGCCTGTACACACACACCACCTACATGCACTCACACCCGCCTATACACACACACCACCTACATGCACTCACACCTGTCTATACACACCACCTACATGCACTCACACCTGCCTATACTCACACGCACCACCTACATGCACTCACACCCGCCTATACTCACACGCACCACCTACTAGTATATGCACTCACACCCGCCTATACACACACGCACCACCTACTAGTATATGCACTCACACCTGCCTATACACACATGCACCATCTGCTAGTATGTGCACTCACACCCGCCTGTACACACACGCACCACCTACTGGTATATGCACTCACACCTGCATATATACACGTCTCCCATGCACGTGCCTCAGATGGGCAGTCCAATGAGTAGCCCGTCCTGTCCTGAGCCTGCTGGGGCTGGGGAGCCGCCGGCGCTGGGGAGCTGCCGGCGCTGGGCAGCCAGGGGACTGATGCCTGGGCCTGTGTCCCCCCTTAGGGATCTACTGCTGCGGGCTGCTCAGCTCGCAGAAGAGCGACTGCACGGGGCTGCCGCGGTCCATGCTCGCCAGCCCCGCCACGCCGCCCGCGCGGGGCCAGCACCGCATCCGCACCAAGGGCAGCATGTCGCTCATCTGCTGGTACAACAAGGGCCACTTCCGCTTCCTGACCAACGCCTACTCGCCCCTGCAGCACGGTGGGCCTGGGGACGCGGAGTGTGGGGGAGACACGGGGTGGGGGGGGGGAGTCGGCCATGCCCCGCCACCCGGTGCCGCTCAGCAGCTGGGCTGCGGGCTGTGGCTCCTGCCAGGCGCCGGCGGCGAAGGAACAGCGAGGGGGGTGGCGGGGACTGAGGCGCCTCCGAGTCCCTCGTCCGTGGGTCTGACAGCGGCTGCGTGTGAAGGGCTGCCGGGCTCACTGGGCCCCGCGGTTCTGCGGGAGCCTGTTCCGGTGGGAAGGGTGCATGTCCAGTGTCTGCAGCTCTCGGGCCTCGGAAGTGGTGACCGCAGGCCAGGAGCCTCCCCTTTCCAGGCGGAGCAGTACCTCACAGGGCAGTGTCCCCCCGGGGTGGGCAACCTGGCTCATGCACCTGGGACACTTGGGGAAACTGAGGCAGGCCTGGGTTTTTGAAGCTGCTCCCCTGAGCGTTCGGCTGGAATCTCGGTGTCCAGTTAAAGGGATGAAAACAGCGGGAGGAAGGCAAGAGGGACAGCAGCCTCTGCGCTGAGACTGGCGGGTAGAGCGGGCCGGAGCGACTGCCTGTGCTCGCTGACCTCAGCCCCGCTGCCTCCTCCTGTCCTCCCCCTCCCCCTCCTCCCCCTCCTCCTCCTCCCCCTCCCTACTCCCCCCTCTGCTCTCTGGTTTACATGGGCACCCGGCGGGGGGACAGGCACGGGCGAGTCGCAGGCAGGGCACACGCGGGCCGGGCTGACACTCTGTCCCGCAGGGGCGATCATCAAGAGGAGGAGCGGGGGGGTGCCCTGCCCCTTGGCCGTGGAGGCGTTCGCCGCTCACCTCAGCTACATCTGCAGATACGACGACAAGTACAGCAAGTAGGTGCCGCCGCTCCCGTCCGGGGCGGGGGGGGGGGGGGGGGCGCGGGGCGGGGCCCTGCAGAGTCACCGGCACAGGATACGGGGATACGGGGTACGGGGACGGGCGGTCAGTACTGCCCCAACTTCAGATCGAACGATCGAAAGATCCCAGGCCCTGGGTCCCCCGGAGCCCTCCCCCGGCTCCCAGGCTCGACCCAGCAGCCCAGCCTTCCTCTGGGCACCAGCCCTTCTCGGCCCCTCCCTGCCCGAAGGTGCCTCCTTCCGCCTGCTCACCCTTCCCTCCGCCACTGGCCCAGACCCCGCGCCCCTGTCCCCCTCAGACCCTCCCGTGGCCGTGGTCTGCCAGCGGCTTCCCAGTGATTCCTGCCACGGTGCCCTCACAGGCGTGGCCTCATCTCGAGTGTCCACATAGAACGGACGGGACGCGGTGTCTGCGTGTGCCCGCAGTGCTGTCTGCTGGTCTGGCCGGGCGTCCTTACGTTCCAAACAGGAACTGAGCAACGATTGTCGTGGGACCTGGGTTTGCCACCAGGTCACTAGTCCTGGCCTCACACCCAGAACCGGGTGGGACCAACCTCAATGGCCCTGGGCCATGGACTTGGCCTCTCAGAGAGGCGACATCTGGGCGTGGCCGGGAGCCACTCTGAGGGGGCCCCTGAGCTGTCTCCTGCGTCCGCTCTAAGGGAAACCTGCCTGTTTAGGCATCTGCTGGGAGCCTGTGGGTGGGCGCGGGGAGGATCTGACCCCAAACCCTTCGCCCTCAGAGCGGAGACAGGAGTGTAGACGAGGCAGGAAGAGAGGCGCCCTGTGTGGGGTTAGCCCAGGAGGACCCTGGGCCCTGTGCTCTGAGCCACAGATGTTCAGCTCTCCTCTCCCACCCCTGTGATGGGAGCTGTTCTCCTCTTTCTTTTAAAAAATAAGTTACTGATGTCAGAGAGGAAGGGAGCGAGAGAGAAACATCAATGATGAGAGAGAATCATGGATCGGCTGCCTCCCGCACTCCCCACATAGGGATCGAGCCCCCAACCCTGGCCTGTGCCCCGACCGGGAATCACACCCTGACCTCCTGGTTCATAGGTGGATGCTCACCACTGAGCAACCCCGCCGGGCTGGGGCGGCTCCTGACCCCCCGTGTCCGCGCAGGTATTTCATTTCTCACAAACCCAACAAGACCTGGCAGCAGGTGTTCTGGTTCGCCGTCAGCATCGCCATCAACAACGCCTACATCCTGTACAAGCTGTCGGACGCCTACCACGTGCAGAGGTACAGCCGGGCGCAGTTCGGCGAGAGACTCGTGCGGGAGCTGCTGGGCCTGGAGGACGCCTCTCCCACCCCCTGACCAGGGCTGGGCTCGGGGAAGGACCAGGTGGGGGGGAGCCTGCCGTCGACCTGCCCGCCCGGAGCCTGGGGACGCGGTGCGAGGAGGGGGCACCACACCCCGTCTCCACACGCCACGTGCCACCAGGCCGCTGCCAGGCCGGTTCTCAACCGGCGTGCCATCCTCGATGCCCGCGGAGCCTGCAGGGGCCTCACTCAGCACCCCGGGCCGGGAGGGGTGGTGCCCCCAGAGCTGCCGGGCAGGGCGAGCCGCGGCACGTTGCTGGAAGCGCCTGCTCTGTAAAGACGTGGGGACGTGTGTGGCCTGGTTCACTCGTGCCGTGTGGACGTGACCTCAGCCAGCGGGATGGGCTGTGCGCGGCTGAGGTCGGTCGGTGCGCGGAGAAGACGGGTTTTCCGGATTCGCCTCGTGGAGGAGGAAACGAACTGGGCGTCCGTAAAGCGCGGGCATGAGCGCGGCCTCCCTGCTCCTGCGTCCGCGTGGCCGGGCCCGGGGAGGGCAGGGGCACGCCCACAGGCGCGGTGAATGAAGTGTGACGCTATTTTTTATTTTTAAATATATCTTCAGGTTATTTTCTTACTGTTGCTTAAGGTCGTCTGTAAAAGGAAAATGTCTCCCTTCTTTCCCATCCCCCTGGCCTCACCAGGTCTGGATTCTGCGCCTGGTGCCCGTGCTCGGGCCAGAGAGGGAGCTCGCTTCCAGAACAGATGGGGTTGCCTCCCCCAGGGGCCCGGGGGCCTGCGGGCCTCTCGCGTGTCATTGGCGGGATGACTGGTCTTGACAAAGACGCAGCGTCGCTGAGACAGACGGACCGTCCCCGGACGGCCACTGGCTACGTCTCGGTCCTGCGTGGGCCAGTGTTTGCCTGTCTCCGGTCGCACATGGGATGGGGGGTGGGTGCTGGCTCGGCTGTGATTTCCCGAGGGGCCGGGCCTGCTCACCGCGGGCCGGACACGAAGACAGGACAAGCAGCGGGCAGCCAGGGCCCACTGTTCCCAGAACATCAGCCAGAGCGGCCGACAGGCTGCCGTCCCCGAGTCCCTTCTGGAGCCACACACTCCCCTCCCGCCCGACGGACGAGCCCTCATGTTCACAAACGCAGAATTTGTTCTCCTCGGGCCCGGGACGTTCCCGTGCACACACCTGTCCGTTACGTGTGCTGGCAGCATGCCCACCTCCGTGCCCCCCTGTGCCCCCGTGTCCTCGGCTCGCGATGACCACCTCGTCCCCGGTGTCCACTCAGGGCCACGACCGCGGCCGGATTCTCAATCGTGTTTCCAGACGCCTTTGCCGCGCCCTGTACACGGGAGCGAGAGCACTTTTACCACGTGGAGAATCTATTTTTAATTTGTGATGCTTTTTCTACCAGGTCCACTGTCTCTGAGCTGAATGTGTTCCCCAGACTTAGGGAGTCTCGAATGCAAGCTGGGGAGTTGAGTTTTCTTTTCTGTCCAAATAAGTAAAAGGAAAAAATAAAAGTCTATTTAGATGTTGAGTCTTCGCTCGTATGTGAGTTTGTGAGAAGTCAGGAGGCGTGACCGGCTTTGTGGTGAGGCCTTCGCGGCCGTGAGACGGGGATGGTTCTCGTTAACGAGGAAAAGCTTCATGTATGATGAGGCGTCGGCTCCCATGGCCCAGGGTCTTCTTACACGTTATTACAGGGGAGTGAAGGGCTGGAGGAGCCTGTGTTTTCCAGCTGAGAAAGTCTTAGAGTGCGTGCTGCATGGATTAAGGGCTAGAAGCCCCACACAATCCTCGTTGCCCCTTTTAAAGTTTCAGGGATTTCAGGTCTTTGCTCGCCAAGCCTTCCTGTGCGCTCTGCACAGACCTTGGCCGTGGCCCCTTTCCCGGTTGCCCCAGCCCTCAGGGCAGCCTGCAAGGAGCCTGGGGTTTTTGAAAATATGTATATTTTTATTGATTTCAGGCAGGGAGGGAGAGGAAGGGAGGGAGAGAAACATCAATGGTGAGAATCATGGATCGGCTGCCTCCCGCACGCCACACACTGGGGAGCCAGCCTGCAACCCAGGCATGTGCCCTGACCGGGAATCGAACCCTGACCTCCTGGTTCATAGGTGGACGCTTAACCACTGAGCCACGCCGGCCGGGGGAGCCTGGTGGCTTTTTATTCGCATTCGCCAGCCAACACGGTGAAAAGTCTAGAGGTCAGTCGGAGGGAACCATTGAACCCCCAAAGGAGCCCCACCGCCTGGGAGAACAGGATTGTGGCATGGACGGCGGGCGGGCTGGGAAGAGGGAAGGTGTAGACAGCCGTGCCTGGTTCTGACAGTGTTGGGTGGGGCCGGGGGGGGGGGGAGAGATATTTAACAACCTCAGTTAAATCAGCTTCAAACGGAAATTTGGGGTCGGAAATTTGGGGTCGTCGTCTTGTCCGCCTCCAATCTGTCCACTCCTTTGAGATGAGGCTCTCCCGTGTCTGCCCAGCAGAGGGCAGCAGACTACACCTTATGAGCCCCAGGGGTGCGGACAGCGCGTCCCTCTCCAAACGCGCTCTGGGCCCCGTGGGTGCAGCAGGAAATGCGGCCGCAGGAAGAGGGGACCCAGAGGGAAGAGGGGGGACAGGAGCAAGTCCGCACGGCCATCAACCACAGTGACAGGCTGAGCGGGAACCGATGGCAGCGGCTCGGGGAGACGGCTCTGCGGGGCCTCACCGTCCAGGGCGCAGAGGCCTGGACCCCGGAGCAGGCCTGAGGGGGCGGGGGTTGCGGGAGGGAAGGCGTGAACCCCTCCCGGGTCCTGCAGCGACCCCAGGACACACGTGTCGCAGGCGTGTTGGCTGCAGAGAGGGCGGCTCCCGCGGGGGGTGGGCCGAGACCCCCGCTGGGGCCTGGCCTCCGGTACTTGCCCCTCTGTGTCTGCTGCCCTCCTTCCCACGGTCGCGGTCATGGTCACGGGGCTGACAGTATGAAGGGGATGGGACGCCCAGCACGGGGTGGGTGGGGCTCAGCAGCTGAGTGACGGCCCCGTGCACTGGGTCAGCGCGGTTCCAGGCCCGGTTCCAGGCCACCTTTTCACGGTCACTTTTCTCGACGGGGCGGGAGGTGGGTGCTGGTCCGGGTGGGCCTCCCAGCCCGAGCTCCACTCGAAGGTGTTTGCAGGTGCTTCCTGGGTGGGGCACGTGTGGTCTTGTTAGGACAGGCTAGAATCCAGCCTGGTTGGCAAACTCATTAGTCAACAGGGCCAAATATCCACAGCCCTTCTTCAAAATAGACTCGCCCAGGCCGAAAACCGACTTCTGCGCACGGGCCACGAAGTTTCAATCACACTGTACGTGTGCGCCCGCACGTGGTATTTTGTGGAAGAGCCACACTCAAGGGGCCAAAGAGCCGCATGTGGCTCTCGAGCCGCAGTTTGCCGACCACACTAGCCGCTAGGAAATGAGGCATGAATTCCCCCCGTTAAGCTTGCTGTTGTACCTGCGTGCATAGCAGGTAAGGATAGGCGATAGGTAGAGATGATGAGAGTTAGATGACAGATAACAGGTGGATATTAAATAGGTGAGAGAGAGAGGGGGGCGAGAAAGAGAGAGAAGAGAGAGGGAGAGAGCACTGTCTTTTAGCCTAGGAGGTCTGGACACCCCATTTGGACCTCAGTCTTCCTGAGGCCTCGCCCTCAGCTCTGGGCATCCGTGTGTGGGCAGCCTCAGAGGTCCCCCCGAGAGAGCCGCCTGCGCAGAGGAACCTCGGGGGCCTGCGGGAGTCCCGGCCGCTGGCTCCTGGTCCCCGTGCCCCGCGGGGGGCTGAGCTGGCCCAGCCGCTAGGAGGCCCCGCCACACCTCCATCAGCAGCCTCCCCACCCTCTCCCAGGGTCCTGGAAAGTAATCAGGGCTCTTTTAAAAATATATATTTATTTGTATGATTTCAGAGAGGAAGGGAGAGGGAGAGAGAGATAGAAACATCCATGATGAGAGAGAATCATGGATCGGCTGCCTTCTGCACGCCCCCCACTGGGGATCGAGCCCAAAACCCGGGCCTGTGCCCTGACCGGGAATTGCACCGTGACCTCCTGGTTCATAGGTCGATGCTCAGCCGCTGAGCCACGCAAACCACGGCTCTTTAAGGAAGAGAACAGCCCCAGGTGTGGGTGGTGGAGCCGCACGAGGAGCCCTGCGACGGGATATTCCCGGGATAAACCGAGGCGGAGCCACGCCACGTGGCCTGGGCGAGGGGCTGCCTGAGGGAGGGCAGAGCTGGGGGAGGGACAGCGCTGGTGGGTGCCTGACTCCCCAGGACTCGGCCAGGGCGGGCCCCCGAGGCTGCAGGGGTCTCCTTCGGAAAATGGCAAAAACAACGTCAATTTGAAGAGCTGTCGGTGGGGGAGGCGGGCCCTCGCCCTGTGCCCCTCCCGGCCGGCCGGGCACACCAGCCCCAGGCCCGGGGGAAGAGGAAGCGCCTTCCGGAGGAAATGAGCACATGATCTGGGAAGAGGCCGACCTTGGAGTGGGAGCCGGTGGACCCCTAAAAGGTGAGACCGCGGGGCAGCAGGCCCTCCCATGTTCCCTTTCCTTCCCACGCCCCAAGCAGCACAGAACCAGACAAAGCCCAAGGACTGGGTGCAGGGGCAGCAAAGGGATTGCAGCTCCGAGGGGTGGGGGTGGGGGTGCAAAGGGGCAGCTGGCCCCTGGGAGCCCCCTCGCTCTAAATCTGAGGGCCTGGGGGCAGGACAGATATCGGAAGGTCCTGGAGCTCCTCCTCCCACCTCCTCAGCTCTCAGGATTGAAACACCCCTTGAACCAACGCGTGGATGTAGAGGCGAACTTGGAGGCTGGGGCAGGAGGTGGCCAGAAGGCGGGCGTGGCCTGGAGCAGCCCAGGAGGCAGCAGGTAAGCGCCAGGTGGGAGCTGGGAGGAGGGAGCCGGAGGGGCGAGTCTGGATGTCACTCAGCATTGAGTCAGAGCCCTCCTCCCGGGGCAGCTTGGAGAGGCCCTGTGGGCCCTGGGGACAGTCTCTACTTGTCGGATATGTGAAGTCCTGTCGGATAAAAGAGCACTCAGGGGTCTGGTTCAGTGCCGTTCTTGTCAGAACCGGAGGCAGGGCTGGGCTCCGTGTAAAAGCGGTTTTATTCCTAATCATCTGAACAAGTTGCAGTGGGTTGCGCCGCCCGCACAGCTGTGACCGCAGTCGCTGAACGGCGGCGAGTGGCTGGTGTGTGTCCCAGGGCTGCCCTCCAGGAAAGTGAGGGTGGACTTGATGGAGGGTGAGGTCCACTAGGGCCCCAGGCTCATCACTCTGCCCGGACCCCAAGTGCAGAATGAGATCGAGGCCAGGTGACGAGGTGAGGCGTGCAGGGGCCTCCACACGGGTCCCTCACGCCCGTTACCGATGACGGACCGGAGGCACCGCGGGAAGTTTAATGATGCTGATCACAACAGCTGAGGCTGTTCTAAGGCCGCCCATTAACTGCCACAGGCTGCACCAAGGCCTCACACACAGCCCCTCTCCCTCTTTTTCATCCTGACAGCAGCCCTATGATGTAGGAACAATGATTATCCCCAGCTCCAGATGCAGAGACGGAAGCACAGAGAGGTTAAGTAACTTGGTCAAAACGCACACAGCCGGGCAGTGACAAAGCCCAGTGTGAACCGAGGCAGCCCGACCCCACGGCCCACACCCTTGGTTTTCACACCGCGTCGCTTATACTGACTTCAGAGGGTGTGGTCCTAACAGCCGACCTCTGGGTGCATTCCAGGAGCCAGACTCTGAGGTCAAGGGGTCGACAAGGTCACGCTTCTGCCAGGGCCCTGGGACCGTCCACCCCTTGCCTGTTCTCACTTCTGGTGGCGGCTTGTGGCCGTGTCGCTCCAGTTTCTGCCTCTGTCTTTATACCGTCTCATCCGTGAGTCAAAGCTCCCTCTGGCCCGGCCGGCGTGGCACACACACACACGGTTCCTGGGGCTCCGATAGACACACACACACACACACACACACACACGGTTCCCGGGGCTCCGATAGAGACACACACACACACACACACACACACACACACACACACACGGTTCCTGGGGCTCCGATAGACACACACACACACACACGGTTCCCGAGGATCCGATAGATACACACACACACACACACACACACACACACACGGTTCCCGGGGCTCCGATAGACACACACACACACACACACACACACACACACACACACGGTTCCCGGGGATCCGATAGACACACACACACACACACACACACACACACACACACACGGTTCCCGGGGCTCCGATGGACACGGGTTGTGCTGAGCTGAGCTGGTTTTGCCTCTCGGGTGGCAGGAGGGCCTGTGTGGTTGTCTGAAGAGAAGGATGATGCTCAGTGTGGCCCCGACTGTTGACAACACTCTCCTGGGCAGTCTTCCCGCGCCCGCCTCCCTCCGTCTCCGCCCAAAGTACCAAATAGAGACTGGTCAGTGTCCTCAACACACATGGCGGGTGTTGAAGGGCAGGAATTTTATTTTTAAACTCTTGATTGTTGAAAGTATTACAGATGTTTCTTTTCCCGCCATTGACTCCTTCTAGCCCGCTCCCGCCTGACTCAGCCTACCACCCCACTGTCTGTGCCCACGGGCTGTGCATATCTGCGCACAAGGTCTTTGATCTCTTCCCACCCACCCTCTCTCCCCCGCCCTCCCTCTGAGGTTCCCACTCGGTCCCCTGCCTCCATGGCTCTGCATCCACTCCGTCCATCAGTTTATTTTGTTACTTAGATTCCACGTGTGAGTGCGATCACGGGATACGTGTCTCTCTCTGACTGGCTTCTGTCACTCAGCATGATGCTCTCCAGCTCCCTCCTGCTGTCTCTGAGGGTAAGAGCTCCTTTTTACCGGCTGCATAGTATTCCACAGTGTAATCGACCCACAGCTTTTCTATCCACTCGTCTACGGATGGGCACTCGGGCTGTTTCCAGATCTTAGCTACTGTAAATTGTGCTGCTGTGAATATAGGGGTGCATATATCCTTTGATTGGTGTTTCTAGTTTCTTGGGATATATTCCTAGAAGTGGGGCACTGGGTCCAATGGCAGTTCATATTTAATTTTTGAGAAAACCCCACACTGTTTTCCACACTACCCCAGTCTGCATTCCCACCAGCAGTGCACGAGGGTTCCCTTTTCTCCACATCCTCGCCAGCACTTGTCATTTGTTAATTTATTGATGGGAGCCATTCTGACAGGTGTGAGGTGATACCTCATTGTCATTTTAATATTTCATCTCTCTGATGATCAGTGACTTTGAGCATTTTCTCATGTGTCTCTTGGCCATCTGTAGGTCTTCTTTGGAGAAGTATCTATTTAGGTCCTTTGCCATTTTTTAACGGCATTGTCTTCCTTTTGTTAAGTTGTATGAGTTCCTTTTATATTTTGGATATTAACCCTTTATCAGATGTATCGTTGCCAAATATGTCCTTCCCTACAGTGGGCTCCCTTTTCGTTTTGTAGATGGTTTCTTTTGCTGTGCAGGAGCCTTTTATTTTGACATAGTCCCATTTGTTTATTTTCTCTCTAGTTTCCTTTGCCCTAGGACCGTGGTCGGCAAACCGCGGCTCGCGAGCCACATGCGGCTCTTTGGCCCCTTGAGTGTGGCCACGAAGTTTCAATCGCACTGTACGTGCGCGCCCGCACGTGGTATTTTGTGGAAGAGCCACACTCAAGGGGCCGCAGTTTGCCGACCACTGCCCTTGGAGATGTATCCGTAAACATATTGCTGTGAGTGATGTCTGAGATTTTGCTGCCTCTGGTTTCATCTAGGGTTTTCATGGTTTCACTTCTTACATTTAGGTCTTCTATCCATTTTGAGTTTATTCTTGTGTACGGTGTAAGTTGATGGTCATTTTTTTTTGGTTTTTTTTTTTATGTATCTAATTTTCCCAGCACTGTTTATTGAAGAGACTGTCTTAATTCCATTGTATGCCCTTGCCTCCTTTGTCAAATATGAATTGAGCAGAATGGCTTGGGTCGATTTCTGGGGTCTCTATTCTGTACCATTGATCTACAGGCCTGTTCTAGTGTCAGTACCAGGCTGTTTTGATTATGGTGGCTTTGCAGTATAACTTTATATCTGGTATCATGATTCCTCCAACTTTTCTTTCTCAAGATTGCTGCGGCTATTCGGAGTCTTTTTGGGTTCCATGTAAATTTTTGGAGGATTTGTTCTAGATCTGTAAAATATGCTCTTGGTATTTTAATAGGGATTTCATTGAATCTGTAGATTGCCTTGAGTAGTATGGGCGTTTTAATGATGTTAATTCTGCCCATCCATGAACATGGTATATTCTCCCACTTATGTCTTCCTCTATCTCTTTATTCAACAACCTGTAGTTTTCTGAGTACAAGTCTTACCTCTTGGTTAAGTTCATTCCTAAGTATCTTACTTTTTTTGTTGCAACGGTATATGGAATTGTTTGCTTAATTTCTGAGAATGCATTATTGGTTTATAAAAGCCATCAATTTTTGGGGGGTGTTGATTTTGGATCCTGCTACATTGCTGAATTCATGGATTAAACCTAGCAGTTTTGTGGTGGAGTCATTAGGGTTTTCCATGTACAATATCCTGTCCTCTGCGAATAATGTGAGTTTTACCCCCCCACCCCCCTTTCCAATATGGATGCGAAGGGCAGTTACTTTAAAAGGCCGAGAACGAGGGAGAACCGTAGCCAGCCTGGGACGGAACTGAGGAGCTCAGGTAACTGGGAAACAGGTGTATTGATCTTAAATACTTTAAAATCTGTGCAAACATGCCTCCCTCTCCCTGCCCTGGTCTGGACCGGAGGCGCTGGGTCGGGCTGCCCAGAACTGACTCCACGTGAGTGCCCAGGGGTGGCATGACCTTGAGCAGGTCAGCCCCTGACCTTGAGCAGGTTAACAGCTTTGAGCACCAGCCTCCGCAGCTGGCGGTAAAATGCACCCCCAAACACCACCTCACCCATGACTGTGGGGAGGGACTGATGGATCTCAGGGCTTGGCTTGGCTCCTGGCACACCAGAAACCCTCTACGAACGATGATGGTTATCATCACAAATAAGATTAAACAAAAGGGCGCAGTGGCGAACGGTGGATGCATGTGGACGTGTGATAAGAAACGGCCTTGAGCAGGCCCCCCCCGCTTTCCCCCCGGGGAAGACAGACACCATCTCCATCCTCACACGTCCGTCCCCCAAGAGCAAGGACAGCCGCGGCGGCCCCAGGGCGCCTCTCTATAAAGCATCGTCTCTTTATTTAAGTTAAAACAATGTTCAAGGATGGTTTCCATCTATAAAATGGACAAAGCACAAGCTCTGTACAGCAGTTCTTTTAAAAAAATCAACTGGGAAAAAAAAATTACCAAACTAGATTTTTGAATTTGCAAAACAGACCCACAGACACCATCACCGGAGCGCCGATGGAGGGAGACACAGGACAGACCGCCACGGTGGGGGGACGGGGGGGCGTCGCCTTGCTTGGTTCGAGGGACGCTGGGGGAAGAATCTCCGTTTGTAAAAAGGGGGTGGGGGTGAGACGGGCCCCAAGACTACAAAATACGCCACCGCAGGACGTCGCTTTGGCACACCGTGTCGTGTAAACATAGCTCGCCTGGGGGGGGGGGGGGCAGCTGCCTCCGCTTGCAGTGTCCACGGGCCAAGGCCACGGGGCTGCCCGCTGGGGGGCAGGGGGCCCCAGGGCCCCACAGATCAAAGGGTGCCGAGGCTCCTGGGTTGGGTGGCGGTGTGTGGGCGGAGGAACAGGGACCTGATGAGAATTTGTTTTCCGTCTGAGCCAGATCTGTTTTCCGTCGGGGGCATGGTTTTCTAACAGTAGTCACAGCTCGCAGGTGACGGTCTGACCAGGGGCCCAGGTGCGGGGCCCAGCGCCCCATCGGGCTCAACAGCCCGACCTGACTCTCCCAGGAGCCTCTGGAGACAAAAGTGTGCGAGTCCGCCCCTGGCACTGCCTGGCAGGGGGCGAAAGGGAGAAGCCGGGGTGGGAAAGCCCCCCGGCCATGTTGCCGCGCCCCATCCACTGTCAAGGGCAAGCCATGTGGAGGAAGAGAGACCCACCGAGCTCCCTCTCCTAAAAGAAACCATCAGGTCCGGCCGGCCTGGCTCGGGGGTTGAGCGTCGGCCTGTGAACCAGGAGGTACCGGTTCAATTCCAAGTCAGGACACGTGCCTGGGGTGCAGGCTCGATCCCCACTAGGGGGCGTGCAGGAGGCAGCCGATCCATGATTCTCTCTCGTCATGGATGTTTCTCCCTCTCCCTCTCCCTTCCTCTCTGAAATCAATTAAAAAAAAAAAAAAGATCAACTTCGATCTTTAAAAAAAAGGAAATGAGCAGGAAAGAGTAGCAAGTGGCAGTGTCGACTGGCAGGGTCTTCCGGGGCCACTTCTACCCGGCGACGTCCCAGAGGGGCCTGGCAATGTGCCCTCAGGAGGCATGTGCCACCACATGGGGGGGGAGCTGCGGGCACGGCCGGCCTGAGACCAGGCAGCGTGGGGGAAGGTGGGCAAGGAAGCGAGAGGTGACCCGTGGCCAGGTGACCCGGGGGCCTCCTTGGGGCTGGGGCTGGCCTGTCCCTCCAAAGGCAAGGAGGCGCCACAGGACACACCTGCCATCCAGGGGGCGCCCGGCCTCTCTCCCTGTGGCTACTTTTCATTCTTGTTCGTCGCTGTCCCTGGCTCACACTGACCACCCGGCCGCTGCTTCAGACGCCGGGTCCTCAGTGTCACTGAGCAGGCAGGGCCGTCCCCGCCCGTCCTGACAATGACCCCAAGCTCCGAGGCCTCACCTGGGTCCGGAGGGACGGACACAGCCAGCTGCCAGGACACTCACCCTCCGCCCGTCCCTAGCCCGTAACAGCCCGACAGTCCCTGGGAGCTGTGGGATCATTTTTTGTTTTTCCTTAGAGAAAAGAAATTTCATTGAAAAAGACCTAAAGCAACGTTTGTCCAATCAAGTCCAGGTTTACAGATGCCAGGGGCACGCAAAGTGGATTCCAACACAGAGCAGTGACGCCCACGCTGGGGCCGAACAGCGAGGCGGGGCCGCGGCTGGCATCCTGGCCTCCACGGGGCCCCGTCCGCTGCCAGGGCCACCCCCGGGGGGCATGGCCGGCACAGCTCCGAGGGGCATTTACAGGGTGAGGGCCTACAGAAACCCCCGGAACGGCCGTGCGCTCTCTTTATATCTATTTATAGTGAGTGTCCCGCCACAGAAACGTTCAAGTTCAGATCCGGCAGGTCCTTCGCGTCGTGTGGAGGCGGCGGGGAGCCGGACCTGCAGGTGGCCGTCGGCGCCGTGGGCCACGCGGACTTGCGATGGGGCACACGGAGGTTTCCAGAGAGTTCTCCCGCCGCGATGGAGCCACGCGCCCCTTCCCCCTCCCGTCCCCCAAACGCACACTTGGAGCCTCGGCTGTCGCATCCCCGCTGTGGCTGGGGCTGCTCCTTGGCGTCTGGGCAGGACCAGGAGGCAGCCGACAGGAAGGGGCGGCGGCCCAGGGAGGGGACCAGGCTGCGCTGTGACTGGAGATCAGTCCTCTTCCCTCGCTGTTGTGTCCGCCGCCCGTCCCGTCGGTGCCAAGGCGCCGGCGTGCAGACGGGATGGGAGACTGAGGTATATAGTTTCGCGGAAAGTTTGATCGATCCCGTGGTCTCCGACCGCCCGCGGGTGCGGCGGTGGCGCCTAGGGCTGCAGGTTCAGCGAGAACTTCCACTGCTGGGACAGCGCCGGCCCGCACACCTCCACGCTCAGGCCGCCCGCCGCGGCCCCGCGGCTGTCCAGGCACAGGTTGCTGCCCACGTGCCGCAGCTTGGAGTTGCCCTCGATCTGCTCCCATTTCTGCAAAAGACAGGACAGCGCCTCACCGTGAGGATGGAAGGACAGGAGCACAGGCTGCCCGGCCGGCGTGGCTCTGTGGCTGAGCCTCGGGCCTGTGAACCAGGTGGTCACGGTGCGATTCCCGGCCAAGGGCACAGGCCCGGGTTGCAGGCTTGATCCTCAGTGCAGGGCGTGCAGGAGGCAGCCGGTCCATGATCCTCTCTCATCATTGAGTTTCTCTCTCTCTCTCTCCCTCTCCCTTCCTCTCTGAGATCAGTAAGTGTATTTATATATATTTATAAGTTAACAGAGTGTTAAAAACACGCACGCACAAGCAGTCCTGTTTCCAGGATCCTAGGGCTGCGTCAAAACCAACCCACACACGCTTTTGGTTTCTGGTCATAAAGGAGGGGAGCTGGCAAGCGCCCCAAGAAGCAGCAGCCGCAGGGCCACTGAGGGCCCCAGGGAGAAACCCAGGGCCAGGCTGGTTTGCACCTCAAAGCTCTTCTCTGGGCCCCCCAGGGGCCACTCCTCCTGCCCCTTCCTGTCCCCTCAGGACAGGACATCCAAGCCCCAGTACTTTCCTGGAGGGAAATGCATTCACCAGGAGGCTTGTCTGGTATTTCACCCCAAAAAGGAGCCGCAGGGGCTCAGTCCTGCCCCTGATGTGGGGAGGCCGCCCTGCCCGGGGGCGTGGCCTGGGCACTTCCCGGCTCCCGCTTAGGGACCTCGCTCAGGTGAGCCAGAGGCACTGCATCAGGTCAACTACCAGGAAATGCCTTTGTGGACAGAGTGTCAAGTTGAGGAACCTGTTTGTTGTGTGTGAGCTCCTGGGTGGGTGAGCGAACCCGGACTCAGAGTCCCCATTGTTCTGCGTGGCAGGGACCAAACGATTCTGTTGGGTTCTGAATGTCCTACTTGTAAAGAACAGACATTAAAATGCTTGTAATGTGTCCTACTTATGTGTGTGTACACACACGCACACCCTCCTAACACCAAACTACCAACCAAACTCCCAACCAAGCTCAACCAACCTACCAACTGAATTCACCAACCAAACTCCACCAACCAACTGAACTCAGCCAGCCAACCAAACTCAACCAACCTACCAACCAAACTCGCCAACCAAACTCAACCAGCCAACCTACCAACTGAACTCAACCAGCCAAACTCAACCAACCTACCAACCAAACTCGCCAACCAAGCTCAACTAGCCTACCAACTGAACTCAACCAAATTCACCCAGCTAACCGAACTCAACCAACCTACCAACTGAACTCAACCAGCCAACCAAACTCAACCAACTAACTGAACCAACCAACCAACCAAACTCAGTGACCAATCAATCCCTCACCCAACCAGCCAAACTCAACCCATTAATCCACCTACCAGGTCAGAAAACCAAGGCCAGAACCAGCCTGAATGAAATCTCACCCTGTTGTTTATCCCCATGTCAAAATCTCTAATGCTTGTTCCTAAAGAAAAAGAAAAAGAAAAAAAAAGGAACCGGTTTTTCTCCCCGAGCTCTCCCTCGTGGACGTGCTCTGTGATGCTAGCCGCCAGCATCCCTTCCGGAAGTCCTTGTGCAAATCCTTTTGATAGCGTGGAAGGAAGTTTCCGTCCTCCTGCCTCCCTTTCCCCTCGGACTGCAAATGTGCTCACCATACGAACACACAGACGTGTCTGGAAACCAAATACCCCAACTGGCAAGACCGTGCAGCGCTGAGATACAAATAGCTCTTCTCCAAGGGCAAACGGGTGAGGCCTGGAGGGGGGCAGAGCAACGAAGAGCCCAGCGCCCCAGGACTGGCCCTGCCACACGACCCGCGACCCTGAAACTCAGGGCGATCGGATGAGCTGGGGAGGTGACTGCTGCCTGCCCATCGCCCCCTCACTCTGGCTCCCTCTCGGCTGTCACCCCCCCCCCGCCCCCCGCAGCTGTTCTCTCCATCGTCATGGCAAGTGTGTGCCCGCTGCCCGCATCCACGCGTCCTTCCGAGAAGCCAGCAATCAGCTGGACAGCGAATGCGGATGAATGAAGTCTGATTCCCTTCTCTGCGAGGGCGTCTGCTAAACGGAGGCCTTAGAAAACCGACCAGCCCCCCGCTGTCTCCGAAGGCCGTCTCATCAGCTCAGACCCTCCGTCTGGGCGGACGGGCGGGGGCGGGGGCGGGGGGGGGGGGCAAACTTCTGAGACATCGAGGCCCGACCGAAACATCGTCAGGAACCTCACGTTCTCACGGGGAGCATCCCCCTCTAACGGGCTGAGCGGCGTAACAGGTCCTCACCCGCATCCAGAAAAGCCGACTGTAGGAGGCCTCTCCCTCCCATGGCGCAAGCCTTTTAGGGGTGTCCGTGAAGGCTCCCGGGGACTGGGGTCCCCGCAGGAGCACCTGTCCACCCTTGCAATAAAGCAAGCCCTTCGGAAAGGTAACGCTCCACAGACTAAGCAGCCCCCCGCCTTTTAAAAAGGGTTGGAGACCCACGCCCGCCAGCCCGCCCCGCCCTGTCCCTCCTGCAGGATTCTGGTGGCCCGGGTCCAGGGGACAGTGGCCTCTCTGTTTCACAGTCGTTCTTCCTCCCCACACAGGCACCAGCCAGTCAGAAGCCGCCTCATCGACACGGACGAGTTACACAGGCACTGCCGGCCGTAAGCAATCGTCCGGGTGCCACACACAGGACGGGGCACACGGCGCCACAGAGAAGCTCCCAAGAGGGACTCCCGGCAGCCCCCCTCCCTGGCAGGCCCCCCAGGAGGCGGGAACAACAGGCAGGCGTCACGGGCCCTCCCCCTGCCCAGCCCAGAGCCGGGCTCAGCAACCTTCGCACTCACAGCCCTGCCTCATCAGCCTCGAGGGCGAGGCCCACACGGGAACAGACGGAGAGGACATGGGAAGACGGGGCCCAGGACAGTGACCGCACGGCAGAAGCAGATGACGGGGGGACGGAAGGGGGGGACAGAGGGTGCTGCCCGGGGCGGGTGCCAGCGGGAGACCCACCAGCCTTCAAGCGCCCATGCCCACCGCTCCCCGACATCGGGATCCACCCCCGCCCGGCACAGACCTACTGTGTTCCCCCCCACCCCCCCTCCATGCCAGGAACCCCACCCCGTGTGCGGTTGCAGGGGCAGCAGTTGAGTCCAATGAGGCAGCTGGGCATCATCGTGGGAGCGGGCGACGTGGAGCCCGGGGCGTGGGCGGGAGGAGCCGGGCATGGCCCCTGGGGGTGGGGCTGCGGGTGGGGGTGGGGGTGGGGTGCAGGGCGGGCAGCGCACCTGTCTGCTGTCGTTCTCCCGGCAGCCCTGCAGCTTGATGAGCGAGCCGGGCGTCCGGTCCACCACCGTCAGGCACAGGTCCATGTGCTTCACCGACTTCTCCTTGGTCAGGGCCCACTCCTGCAACACACACGGGTCAGGGGCGTGCGCCGCGGGGGTGGGAGGGAGAGGGGACAGGCGGGCCTGGGAGGGAGACGGAGAGGAGGTGGTGGGGGGAGAGGGAGGGTGTGTGGTGTGTGGGAATCTGACCAGCTCAGGGCCATCAGATGACTCTGTGCCTCAAGGCAAGTCTGCAATTGGGGGGCACTGGGGGAGCCACAATCGGCACTTGGAGAACCTGACTAAGAGGAACTGTTTTAGCCCTGGAGGGCGGGCAGGGCCTGGTGACCCCCATAGCCTCCCCCGGCTTCCTTCCCTCCTGAGGGGGCCTCAGATTTGGGCCAGTCCCCTCACCCCCTTGACTCGGCTCCAGGCACCCGTCAGAACCTGGGACACCCCGTCCACTCCACAGGCTGCAGGAGGGTGTGGCCAGCAGGAGCCAGAGCTCCCTCACAGACCTCCCCCAGGGCAGAAGGGGCAGCTGGGACCCATCACCTCAGGCCCCGCCCTGCTCCTGGGGCCCCGGCTGCCCCAGCCCCTGCGTGCACCCACCTGGTTGCCCCCCGCGTTGTGACACTCGTACACGCCGACGACGCCGTCGGTGAAGTGGCCCAGCGTGTCCAGGCAGTTGGTGCCCTGCTGCAAGGCGCCGAAGGCTATGTCCTGGTGGTCGGGGACCCTGGATGGCAAGGAGGACTGGCTGCTTAACCCCGGGGGACCCCGGGCCCCCCGCCCGGCCCTGAGCTGCTGGCTCGTCTCGGGCAGCAGGAGCGAGGAGAGGAAGGAGGGAGGCCGCCGGCAGGCCCGCAGCCCTGCCACGGGGGGCCGTGTTTGCACCTCTACCCTCACTGCAGCACAGACCCCACTTTTTTTTTCTAATTTTTTTTTTTGTTAGTCCTCATCCGAGGATATTTTCCCACTGATTTTTAGGGAGAGAGAGGGAAAGACAGAAACATGGAGGTGAGAGACACATCGATGGGTCGCCTCCTGCACGAGCCCCAACCAGGGCCCGGCCGGGGAGGAGCCTGTAACCAACCGAGGTACGTGCCCTTGGCCTGAATCGAACCCGGGACCCTTCAGTCTGCAGGCCGACGCTCTATCCACTGAGCCAAACCGGCCAGGGCACAAACCCCACTTCACGGTGAGAGCCTGCCACCTGGCTGCCCTCTGCTGCCCCCCAAACCCTGGAAGGGGACCCCGGCCCGGCTGGCAGGACCCACCGTAGCTCCGGGTACACGTTCTCCAGGTACCAGCGGAACGGCTTGCAGCTCAGCTTCTTCCGCAGCTCCAGGCGGCTCTGGATACTGAGGAGAGGGAAGCGGACGCTCTCACACGAGTTCCAACGCACGGGCTCCGCGTCCAACCTGGACGCCTGCCCCCAGAACAGGGCTGGGCGGGCGTGGAGCCTGGATCGCCCGTGTCCCTGTGTCCCCCACCCTGGGCCCACGCCCTCCCTGGAGCAGAGGGAGGTCCCCCTTTGTCACCTGGGCAGTTCTTGGGGTTCAGGCCAGCCCCAGCCCCCCCACACCACGTCCCTCCCCAGGGCCCCACGCAGAGCGGCCGGAGGGCACAGGCGACACCTACTTGCCGTAAGGGACGTTCCTGGCGGAAGGCACGGCGGCGTAGTAGAAGTTTTTGTACTCGTCCATCCACACCTCCGCCGCCCGGCGGGTGTTGCTAGGAGCAAAGTGAGTCTCCGTGAGCCGCGGTCTGCGCTCCGGCCGTCGGCGCCCCCCTGCGCGCGTCCGCGGGGGGGGGGTGCCACGCGGGAAGGTCCCCAGGGCGGGGGGCCGGCAGCTTTGCCAGTGAAGCGGGGAGCGGGCCGGCCCTGCTCAGCGCCTAAGGGGTGCGGCCTGGGCGTCCCGCCCCGTCTACTCTCCCGTCCCCCAGGCTCCGGTCACACCCTGTCCTCCTGCCCCAGGTCCCCTCCATCTCAGCGCCTGCACCTGCTGCCCTGTGCCCTCAACCCCCCCGCTCCGGCTCCGGCACCCCCGCGCCTGACCCCATGGCCACCACCACCTTGCAGCCGGGCTGATGGGCGTGCACACAGCTTTATCTTTAGCATCTACGATTCCCTAGGGCAGTGGTTCTCAACCTGTGGATGGACAGCGTCCCCTGTCCCTGCTGACGGGCCCGCCACCGAAGGCCACGCCTCCACCGGGCCAGGCCGGGCCCCCGTCGGGGTGGCGGTCCGCAGGGTCCGGGTCCCGCTCGGCCTCTCCGCCACTCACCGGGCGAAGACGGTGCCGCTGCCGCCGGGGAAGGTGTAGGGGTGCTGCTTGCGGAACACGTGCCCCACGCGGCTGCAGGGGATGATCTCCAGGCTGCCCCCGCACTGCCACACGCGGAAGGAGATCTCTGTGGGGAGAGAGAGTGTGACCACAGGGCTCCCTCTCCCTTCCTCGCTGAAATCGGTACAAATACATTAAAACAAAAACCTGCCTGGCGGCGGGGCTCAGTGCTTGAGCGTCGACCTAGGAACCAGGAGGTCACGGGGGTCGGGGCACAGGCCCGGGTTGCAGGCTCGGTCCCCAGTGGGGGGCGTGCAGGAGGCAGCCGACCCATGATTCTCTCTCATCACTGATGTTTCTATCTCTCTTTCCCTCTCCCTCCCTCTCTGAAATAATATATATATTACACCCCCCCCCCCAAAAATAAAAGGGAGACTATTTATACTGATGTGGGGACTAATTACGTCCGATGAACGGTCCCTCTAGTTTTCTCCAGGTGGCGTCCTGCACACCACACACTCTTGCTGACTGTCTCTTCGAGGCTGCCCTTTGCCGCGTCTGCCCCACTTGGGGGGCAGGATAAGACCCTGGTTCCGCCAGAACCGGAAACCGTTCGGTGGCGGCAGACGCGCGGCGCATACGTACCCAGGTTCTCTCCGCCCCACACGTCCATCATCATGTCGTACTTCCCCAGCTCCTCAAAATAGGACTTGTCCATCACGAACAGCCCCCCCGCGATCATGGGGGTTCTACAGAGGCAGAGGGGGGGAAGGGAAGAGAGGGTCAGCTCAGCGGCACTGTTACGCCACGGCCAGTCCTCCATGCTGACCTTACAGGAGAGGTCAGAGGTCAAGGCCAGCTCAGCGGCACTGTCACGCCACGGCCAGTCGTCCATGCTGACCTTGTAAACAACCCCGGGGGCACGGCTCTCTGCTCAGAGCCCCGGTGCCCCTCTCTGCTTTGCCACTGTCTCCACATCCTCCCCACTCGCCCTGCCAGGCGCCCCCGCGGCGGGAGGGCTGGTCCGAGCCCCGGAGAGAGTGACCCCAGTGGCTGGGCTCTCCCGGGCCAGCGGCTCCAGGCACGTTCTCAGCCTTTCTGTGCCCGGTGTCCTCGGAGAGGCACCCCCCCCACCCCAGGACGCAGGCAGCGCCCGCAGGACATGCCCGTCAACCGTGCCCGTCTCAGCCGGGTCAGCAGGGCCCTGGGGTCGCGGCCACGGGGCCAGGGCCGTGGAGCAGGTCCCTTCTGTCTGATGGACCTGCATCGTCTCGTTCCCACCAGCCTGGGAGGGGCTGACAGACGTCCACGGAGCCCTCCTCCCTCCCAGCAGAGATGCCGTGAGGACTAGTCCAGCGTCCCGGGCTGGGAGCCCCGGGGAGAAACGCTGGGCCCCAGGGAGGGTCCCTCACTCCTGCTCTGAGGGGCGGAAGGGCACCCTGACTCCCAGCGTGGCCTTGGCCCGGCCTGGGAACCTGAGCGCCGGGTGTGAATGAGGACGAGCTGCCTCCTCTGTGGGCAAACAGGAGAGCAGGTCGGACAGGGAAAGGCAGCAGCCGGGGCCTCCGCCGGGCCCTGCCCCTCCTCCCGGGCCCTGAGGTCAACCCCCAGACCCCGCGGGCTGCGGGAAGCGCTCACGCCAGGAACCGGAGGGCACCCCGGGCGGGCGGGCGGGCGGGCCTCCTGGCGGGGTCCTCACGTGGAGAAAGACACCTCTACACTCTTCGCTTCCGGCTCTCCGAGCGGGGGACGCGGGGTTTGGGGGGGGCAGAGCTCCCTGGCACTCACTTGATGGGGGCGACCGGGTTCCCCTGCCGCGCGCGCCTCTGCTCGGGCGTCATGTAGTCCCACTTGAACACCAGGTTCCAGTCGAAACCTGCCGGGCACAGACGGGGAACGGGGCGCTGAGAAGAGCCGGCCGGCGGCTCCGGCCCTCACGGCTTAAGGCCTGGGAGGCTCGGATAAGACTCACCGGAAACAGAGCAACGCAACACACAACAAAACGCGCGCGGGTGTGGCGGAAGGAGAGAGGGGCGGGGGCGGAGGGGGGCCTCGTCCCCCAAAGCTTCCCCAGAACGCAACCCGTGGGCCTGGCGCTTCTAAAGCTAAAACGCCCAAGAATATACGAGAAGCGAGAAGTGGAATGTGGGGACCCCCCGCGTATCCAGGGGCCGGAAGGAGGCGAGAAAAGAGGGGGGTAGTCTGCCCGCTGCCTCCCGCACGCCCCAGGGCAGGGCACAGGGGCCGGTTCCCAGGCCTGCAAGCGTCTCTCTCCAGTCTCTCTTTAAAGAAGAAAATCGCTTACGGGTGGGGAGAGAGTAACGGAAAAACGTATAAGCGTCACTCGGACCCAGACAGGGAGGGTGGGCGGGGGGTCGTGAGCGCACCTACCCCCTTTTAAGTCGGCGGACGCCCCCACGTACTGAAAGTTGTCCATGTTGATGACATCGATGATGGGCGACACGACCCGGGTCCTATCCTGGAACCGAGAGAGACAAGAGTAGGGGTGAACACACCCTGAGAACCCGACCCCCCAAGTGATGCCAGTGCCTCGGCTGTCAGGCTGGGTGTGTGCGTGTGTGTGTGTGTGTGTGTGCTGGATGGAAGGTCATGTGCAAAGCGTCCGGCACGTGCTGAGTTCTCGACCAGCAGCAGGGACTGCGGGACCGTCATGCCCGCGGCCGGCGGTCCTGTGTTTTGTGACTTCCTGCCCGTCAGCTGTCCGGGCTGCCGTGAAGGGAAGGGCTTGGGCATCGTGTGTTTCTCCGGGACTTCCATCATGTCTGCCTTTTCCCTCCGAGAAAGCGCGGTGCTGGTGGGAGGGAAGTCGGCAGACAGGCAGAAGGCAGGAGACGCGGCAGGAGGCCCAACGTAGTGCCGGGGGTGATGTGTGTAGACGTGCCGCATGTGCCCGTGGGCCCGGGACGGCCTCCCCCAGGACCGCACCTGCCCTCCGGAGCGCCCCAGCCCCAGCCCCAGCCGCTGGCACGCACAGGGCACAGGCGAGATGCCAGGCGGGGTCCCGGGCACTCTGCCCCTTTGACTCAGAGAGTGGGGTGCAGGGGTGCAAGGAAGGAAGATCCTCTGAGACGAGGTCCTACACCAACTGGTGCTCGCCCCCCGCGCCTCCCGGCCGCCGGGTCCCACGAGGAACACCTGTCCCCGAGGCCCCCCCTCCCGGCACCGAGGAGAAGGCCCCCCGCCCGCCCGCACCTCGGCCACCCTCTCCAGCAGCGGCTCCAGCCAGTGCTCGTTGCACTCGCAGTGACTGTCCAGGAACGTCAGCACCTTGGCCTGGGCTGCGTCGGCGCCCCGGACCCGCGAGCGCATCAGGCCTGCGGGAGAGAGTCAAACGCACATCAGGGAGGGCAGAGCGGCCTCTGGGGAAAGGCAGGAACAGCACAGCCCGCACCCGCACCCGCACCCACACCCACACCCCCTCCCGCACCTGCACCCGCTCCCGCGCCTACACCCGCACCTGCATCTATGCCTGCACCCACACCTATACCCGCTCCCGCACCTACACCCACACCTACACCCGCTCCTGCACCTGCACCTGCACCCGCTCCCGCACTTGCACCCACACCCACACCTGCATCTATGCCTGCACCCGCACCTGCACCCGCAGCTCTGCAGCCCCCTACACGGGGATCCGAGCGCACAACCCGGGCATTGAACCCTGACCTCCTGGTTCATAGATCACTGAATCCCTTTCTTTAAGGGATTCCTGGCTCAGGGAAAGTCAGCACTGATCCCCGAGAGTCTCACCTTCTCGCCGATCATTTCTGAGAACCCGCACTTTCTCGATTTTCCCCAGGAGCGCCCCGTCCTCCGCTGCGGAAAGAGGAGAGGAGAGCGTGCGACCCTCACGTTTACGGGAGCTCGGCGTTCGGCAGGGATTCTGGGTCACTGCGGGCGCCCCAGAGGCGGGCACCCCCTCCTCCCGCGGGCCTGATCCCGCCCTTCGTGACCCGTCGTCGGCACTTACGGTCGTTGCTGTAGTCGTCTACCAAGATGATTTCTCTGATGAGGGGGGGCGGGCTCTTCTTAAGCACACTGAGGAGGGACAGAGACGGAGCTGCAGGCCTTGGGGATGTCACTGGGGTGGGGAATTCTCTTGTCTTCGCCCCCATCCTTGTCTGGAGGCGCCGTCGGCCCCTCCTTGCTCTGCATGCTCAGGGGACCTGCCTGCAACCCCGGACGGCCCCGCCCTGGCCGTGCAGGGGACACAGCCCGCGTGCAGGGTCCCTGCGAGGAATCCCCCCCACCCCCAGGACCCTCTCCCCGCCTCACCTGACCACGGTCCTGAGCAGGGCCGAGCGGGCCTCGTTGTGGAAGGTGATCACCACGCTGGTGGCCGGCAGGTCCTCCCGCCACTGCTTCCGCTGACACCTGAGGGAGAGAGAAGTCTGGCCTCCGAAGCAGGGACCGGGCCAGCTGTGCCAGGCCCCGGGGGGCACCGGCGGGTCGACCCGCCAAGAGGGACCACCCGGATGCCCCTGGCGTCTGCAGGAGGCTCTGGCTACCCTGAGATGCAGTCACAGCGAGACTCGAGGAAACAGAAACATGTTCCTGGAAGTGTGTGTTTGTTTTAAATGTATCTGTATTGATTTCAGAGAGGAAGGGAGAGGGAGAGAGAGAAACATCAATGATGAGAGAGAGTCATCCATCGGCTGCCTCCTGCACGCCCCACACTGGGGGTGGAGCCCGCAACCCGGGCCTGTGTCCTGACCGGCAATCGAACCGTGACCTCCTGGTTCATAGGTCGACGCTCAACCATTGAGCCATGCCGGCCGGGCAAAGGTGTCCCTGTTTAGTGGGAAATCCACGGGAGAGGGAAGGAGATGCGTTCAGATCTCCGGAGCACGGCCATGGCTACAAGCATTAAGCAGTTAGGACCGAGGGGGAGGCTGAGGCGGCTGCGGACAGGGACCAGCGGGTCCATGCGACCAGCGCGCTTATGGGGAAATGGCCGACAGACACTGGTTTTCCTTCCTGGCTGAGAAAACTGCTTCCGGGGAGCAGATCTTGCAAATGAGCAAGAAAATCAGTGCCGTTAAAAAGCAATTGAAAAGGTCGGAGTCACAGCACGGGCCTCTCTTGTTTATTTTCGGTGCATGCACGGCGTGACTGAATGAATCACGGGGGAACGGCATGATAGACCGGTCGGGGGGAAAACGCAGCCTGGGATTAATGCTGCCCTTCATCGCAGCTCCTGAGGCTAAGTCTTCAAAGACAAGCGGGCTGATTGGACGGTATTTCCTCCCGGTTTCAGGAATTAGCTGTCAGACGAAGGAAGAATCTGCAGGGCTCAACTGTAAACAAATCACCAGAGAACGTCGCCCTGAGAACTGGGTCTGTGATGTTAGGAGGCCGCCGCCCCAGCAGTTAGTCCCTCCCCGCACAGTGGGCGCACAGTGGGTGCGCGTGGGCGCACAGTGGGCCTGCTGGGCCCAGCAGATGCCTCCATCGAGTACCCAGCCCTGGGAGAATCAGAAAAGGGAGGAGAAAGTTTTTTTCACGCTCACATCATAGTCAGCTTAACCGATCCAATCACGCCCTCTTCTCTCCTTTCCCTTTTCTCCGTGGGAAGCCGGGTCTCCCAGGAGCCGGGAGGCATTCCTCAGAAGGCACGTCACCTCACATGGCTCCATTAAAATTCCTCTGCGGTCCTCAGGAATTGGTGATCAGGACATGGAGGAGGCATCCCCATTTTGTAAGTAAAAGACCAAGGAATAGGTTCCGGCCCATGAGGTCAGAGGGAGTATGCGTGTGTGTCTGTAAGTGCATCCTGAGCCTAAGTCCTCACTGTGAGCCAAGAAAGGGAGGCAGGGCTTGGGGAGTTTCTTTAAAAGAAACAATAAATCTTACGTCTAAAGAGCCACGTCCGTGCCAAGCAGACTTGACTGCCCCAGAGCCAGTGAGAGACGCCCAACATAGAAATTCAGGGGGGAGGGGGAAAAGAGGGGGGCAGGAGGCTGGGGGCTGTGGCCGGGACTTTCCTACTTTCTCTTGGGGAGTTGAGCAGAAAGTGTGGCTGATCGGAAGTCAGCAGAGGAGGCGTGTGCCGGAGGACAGCAGGGGCTGCGGGTCAAGTCCACTCCCCTTTCCAAGGGTCTGGTACGGCCGCGGTCATGCTGGTAACTTCTTGCCCAGTAAAATGAAGACTTGAAAAGCTGGGCACACACACATGTGGTTTTTTTTAATCCTTAATTTAGTTCTAAATTCCCTCGAGACGACAAGGCCGTCAATATCTGAACTCTCGCCTGGATGGAAAATGAGCTGATCTCCACGGCAACGTGGAAGGATGCTGTGGGGCAGGCCTGCCTCGGAGGCTGACGGCATCCGAGAGGTGGACCAAGACCCTGATGAGCTAATACCTCTTTCTCCCTCTCCCTTCCTCTCTGGAATCAAGAAAAGAAAACCGGAAAGGCCCCTATGACTCTAATACGGGGTTATAACATGCATGAGGCTGTATTCACAAAGTCAGAGTGAAACTCTCTCCAGTCACCCAAGGCTGTGGCCAACGGGACGGGCTGAGACGCGCTTCCATGCACATACGCGCACACACACACACACACACACACACACGGGGTCCGAGGCGAGGACTTGGTGGTCACTGACAGGGAGCGACGCTGCTGGGTTTGCCAGAAGAGCTCACGTGATGGATGGGCAAGGGGGGCGGAGAAGCACATGCTTCCATAGAAGACAGAGTTCCAGAACCAGAGCCTGACCACAGAGCAAGACCACACTTCCTGCCGGAGCCGCAGTGGCCGACGGAGGGGAGGCCCGGGGAGGGAGAGCCCGGCAAACCCGCTCCTTCTCCCTGTCGCCCAGCCCGCGCCAGGAGAAGTCCAAGTGTGCGATTCGCCACTAAGACTTCTGTTATGGAGATACGCACTCATTCCACACACGTGAGCGAGTTTCCCCGCATGACGGGCCCCCACGGGAGCGGCTGGTCCCGGATCACGCATCCCTTCATGACGTGACGCGGCCCCACTGCCCCCACAACCGTGTCTCGGTCCCACTCCCACCCCAGGGACATGAGGTCACACTGCTCCCTGTTCTCGCCACCCTCCCACCCCCCCATGGAGTCAGATTTCTCAATTTTGCCAACCCCATTGGTTTGCAAGAGCCTCTCGCGATTCTAATGTTCGTCTCCCTGGTTTCGAGAGAGGCCTGCGTCTTTCCATAGGTTTATGAGCCGGCTGAATTGTTTCTTCTATGAACTGACGGCTCGTATTCTCTGTCCACTTTGTAATTAGGGTTTTGCCTCTATTATTATTTTTTAAAATATATTTTCATTGGTTTTAGAGAGGAAGGGAGAGGGGGAGAGAGAGAAACATCCATGATGAGAGAGGATCATGGATCGGCTGCCTCCTGCACGCCCCGCACCGTGGACCAAGCCTGCAACCTGGGCAAGTGCCCTGACCGGGAATCGAACCCTGACCTCCCGGTTCACAGGTTGATGCCCAACCCCTGAGCCACGCCGGTCGGGCTCCCTCCTTCTGCTTTTGCTGTGTATTTACCCTGTGGTTCCTCTCCACCTTCCTGAGTCACAACGCAGGCCTGGGCTCAGAGTGTTCAACAAACCAGTGTCTTTTAATCTGATCCACTCGATGGAGAGACAAGGGCCGTTCTGTGCTCCATCGCGGGGGGCGGGGGGAGGGAGACGCGGACAAGTGCCCTGAGGTGCACTGATCAGCTTCCAACTCTGAGGGTGACGTGGCCTTTCCCCGTTCTGTGCCAAGGTACTCACCTGGGGCCAGGCCAGGAGACGACGGCGTGGCCAAGGGCGCCCGGGGGGGCGGGGGGCACTCAGACCTCTGTCTCCCTTGCCAGCCCAGCACCTGAACGGGTGCCCGTCCCCATGCCCACCTGTGGGCCAGGTGAGACCAACCGAGAGAGCCCGCGTGGGGGTCCAGCTCAGGTGGGAGGGCCAGGAAGTTTCAAAAACCTTAAGAATCAATTTAAATAGATTCTGTCAACCCCCAGCTCCTCTGTCCCCGGCGGGTGGCCAGTGGTGTGTGCACAGTAGGTGTGAACACACAGGGGCCCCGGGGTGAGGGCCCTGAACAGCAGGGGACCCCCAGGAGGCCCTGACCGCACTGATGCCTGGCCTGTCCCCTTGCCCTCAGCCACGGAGACCACGTACACGATTTGCACTTCAAAGGAAGAACAGGGGCCCGGCCGGCGTGGCTCAGGGGTTGAGCGTTGACCTATGAACCAGGAGGTCACGGTTTGATTCCCGGTCCGGGCACATGCCTGGGTTGCGGGCTCCATCTCCACAGCGGGGGGTGTGCAGGAGGCAGCCGATCCATGATTCTCTCTCGGCACTGATGTTTCCATCTCTTTCTCCCCTTCCCTTCCTCTCTGAAACCAATCAAAATATATTTAAAAAGAAAAAAAAAATAAGAAAACATACAGCAGCCTGAGCGGCCTGATCAGTGACAGCGGCTCCTTACGAGGGAGCGGCGTTAGCCTCGTCTGGGGAACTTGGACCTACACACGCGGGCGTCGAAGGAACCCCCCCAGCACGCAGGTTAAATCTCTGCCCCCCCAAGTCACTCCGGTTTCCCACCCCCTGCCCCCCCCCACACCTGAGCCCCAGCGTCCAGCACACACGAGGGACCGGCAGGCTGTGCTCCACCACCCCGACCAGGGCTACCAGATGCACCCCCACCCCCAAAGGCCACCCCCAAAGATCCAGGCTTTCAAACAAGACCTCGCCCACAACTGGAGTCGGGACTCACAATAAGGGGGGGAGGGGGAGACTCGAAACAGGAGGGCCGTGACCCTCAGAGCCCGAAGAACCCTGAGAGCCCCACCTGGGCTGGGGGTGCCCCTCAATCCCAGGCACGTCCGCTCTGACCCACCCCAAAACCGGGGCTCAGCCTGCGGGATCCCTGCACGATGCACTGGCGGTGGGGACCTGGGGAGCTGGAAAGGCCCTGGGGCAGGGTGGGAGCTGCAAATGGAATGAAAATAAAAGAAAAGCAGCAGCAGGCGACGTAGCTGCTAATTTTCATGTAATTAAAACACAGTTACTAATCCTCCAAGCAGTGACAGCGGCACAGGATTCCACCCAGCCGACGAATTTCTGATCAGCCCTCACAGCTCGAGAGCTTCCCCCTACAGAGGCTTTGAAAGTGGAAGCGAACCAAACCCCGAGCTATTGGAAACCCTCCGCAGGCCCCTCTGAAACGAGGCTGCTTAAGACCCAAGCCGGCGGGAGGCGAATACACCCCGTAATCAGCGTGGGTCTGCCTCACCCCAAGGGGACTGATGAGTCGGCAGCAGCGTCCCGCGTCCTCGGGCCCCTGCGTCCTGCGCCGCAAGCGCAACAGAAGCCGGTGCCCAAACTGTTTACCAGACCCGGGGCCTCTCCGGTT